TCTAAAAATTTTATAGTTACTTTGTTTTGTTGTGATAAAAGACTTTTTTTTAATTTTTATTGTTAGTAAAGTTAAAGAATTGTTTTTATAATTTACTTGTATATTATCAAATGAAAAATAACTTTGTTATTAATTAATAAATTTGTTGTTTGTTAATAATATTTTTAATCAATTTAAATAATTGATGTTGCGATAAATAAATTTAGATTTATAAATTATTATATTTAAAAACTATTAATTATTATAATTTAACCATTTGTGTTACTAAAATCATATTTTTTGAAAAACTGGTTAAAAAATAGTTTATTTACTATTATAAAATAGTTAAAAACGATGACTTATATTTTTCTTATTGTCAACTTAAATTGCATGACACCCATAGAATGATCATGAATTGATTCATTTGACACAATATATCGAAGCCGTGGTTATCGTTGTGTATTTCTTTTGAACTTTCAAGTGTTGAGTAGTTTTCATTACTTTTCAGACCCACCATTTGATCAATTTTTGAAACAAGTTATGGTATAAATGATAATAAATTTATTAATGTTTATAGTTATTTTATTCTTCTTTATAAAAGTATGTGCGAAAATCCCAAAATGTTACATATATTTACTGTAATAAAATGAACAAGATAGTCCATCAAATAGTAAGAAAGTTGTTGAATATCATTATTTTATAATTAGTGGATAAAGGTATAAGAACCCCTCTAAAATAAATAACACATCAACTTTCACTTTGGCACCAGGTCTTCTTAATAACGTATTGAGCTGATAACAGTCATTGTCTCCATGATGTTTTCAACAATTTTTATTGAAATGCACTTTTGGGCAAGCATTTTTGCTGGCGGGAAAACCTCTTCACCACCATTTACTTGTTTTATTGTATAGAAAAATAACGTTTTTTGGCATTTTGCCGAGTTTTAAAATAAAAAATAATACGGTGGCGAAAAACCGCTTTAGATCTGTTTTTGTCTTTTCGTAACCAAATTCTTATTGTTTTATTATAAAAACTTATCCAATAACCAAATATTGCCTTTTTAAATTGTGAAAAAATAGTGTGTTTTTTCTCGGCATACAAATATTTTTTAACCAAATGTATTGAATAACATAAGAGAACACACAATAAACTTGAATTTATTCACCATGCAGAAATGATTGCCGCACTTTTGGATCGTCCACAGTATCCTCCCAGTCTTTTTTAACATTTTTCTGCACGGCGGGAAAAACCGCTTTATTACCATTTCCTGATAAAATTCCACACAGTTATAACCAAAGTTTCAATTTGCCTCAAATAACTGAGGTTTTGGTGGAAAAAAGCTAAATAACACGAGAAATTATAACAGACATGTGCAGCGCCCTTTTACTGCTTCTGATAATTTACACAAAATTATCCGTATTACATTGTTTTTATTGACCAATATCAATAAATTGCTTCGTTTATTTTATAAAAAGTTTCAAAAAAGCAAGTACAACGAAATAACGAGTCATTTATCGCTTGCTTGACAGGCACTTGAAAAACCGCTGGGAATGGATGCACTCACGTTCAGTTAGTGAGTATGTCCAAAGTGCGTTTTTTTCAGTTTGGCAGTGAAATGCATTTCTGAGCGAATGAGGAATCCAACAAGAGGGGTGTGAAATAAAGGTGCAGTTTGTCTTTGCTGAGAGACATTGAAGAGTGGTGTATCAAAAACATGTGCTGGGTTATTTATTTACTATGTTGCTCGAGAGGTAATAGATTTGACTGTTGAGTATTTGTTTAATGGATGATTAAAAAATTGAAAAAAAATATTAAGGAGTGAAAGGGGGTGTGAAAAAAAGGTACACTTGCGGGTTAGTGTTTTTGAGTTTTTTATTTCTGCAAAAAATTGAAAAAATATTTAATAAAAAGTTCATTTTATTTGATAAATTTTAAGATGTTTTTTGGTTATTTTGACCTCAAAGAACAGTTTCGAAGTCAATCTTTCTTGCTCCTCCTTTTATCATTCGGCAAATCCAGACTTCACTTTACATAAAAAATAATTCACAAATTTCAATAACAAACATCGGCATCTTGAAAAAGTAATAGCTATTCTTGTAAACCTTGATTTTTGAATCAAATCGAGGAAAAGGAAAAAAATAAACTATACAAAAAACTATAATCATATTATCATTTTACTATTAAATTATCAAAAGCGGTTTTTTTTCCTGAAGAGGTTTTTTCCACTTCTTTATTAATGATTCTAGTATGTCTGTTAGTTTATTTTTTTAGAGCTAAAACTATTATTTACTTATTTTATATACCCCGAAATAAAAATTAAAAATTAGGTAATATAAAATGATGATTTTAGAGTTTTTTATTAAAGAAAATTTATCATTATGAAAAAATAATATTTTGCTCGAAAATTGAGCTTAAAATGCAGTTTTGGGTTTTTTAAACTGTATTTTAAAAAACGATAGCGAAAAAAATAAAATTTAAGTAATATTTCGGGAATGTTCATACAAATTAACCATCCTTTTATTTGGGAATTTTTTAATTTTGGTCTTTTACTGGTCTCGTTTTTATTCACAAAAAATCGAATTTGTATTTTTTTTTCACCTGTTTTTTCTTGTCTTATTGTCTCTTTTTTACAAAGAAAAATTAAAATTTAGATTTAGAGTAAATTTTTGCCCAAAGATGTATCAAAAACAACATTTGTTTATTTTTTTTTAATCACAGTACAAAACAACAATAAAAATACACAAAAAAAGATAAAAGAATCACAACCAAAAATAAATAAACACTTTTGAAAATTGTTTTATTTTACTAAAATAAACCAAATTCACTTCTAAATCATTATTTTTGTTATTATTATAAACAAATTTAAAATATTAATTATAAAAGAATAATAAAAGACATCAATGAAAGAGACTATTAAACAGACATTTTTATGATATTTTCAAATAAAAAAAGAAACACAACTTTAAATATCAATGGTAGCGATTGATAAATTAATAATAAAATCACTTCAAAATGGTGATTCATATTCTTCAATCCAAAGTTTTTACAACGTTTCACCGAACCGAATATCAAAAATTGAAAAGGTGTTGTCAGGAGAAATTGTAATTCCTTTAAACAAAAGAGGGAGACCAAATAAGAGAACAGAGTTGGTATGTCAAATGGTTAAAAACAAACCACTTCAAACCCATTTTCAACTTGTCATGAATTGGCACAAGCCGCAAACGTTTCAAAGTCGACAATTTATAACATACGGAAAGAACAAAAATTTAAGTATAGTAAACAAAAGTCGACACAAATATTAACAGAAAAACAAATTATAAACAGGTACAATTTTTGCAAAAAGTCGCTCAAAAAAAACATCAAAAAATGGGAATCTGTTATCGTGTCAGATGAGTCAAGATTTTGTTTGTTTCCAGATAAAAAATATTGTTGGATGCTATCAACAAAAATTAAAAGTCTTTTAAACAAAACAACAACAAAATGGAAAATAAGAATCAACATAAACACGTTTAAAAAACAACACAACAAATACAAAAATATAATTCAAGTTTAATGGTTTGGGGTGCGATTGGTCAAGATTATAAATCAAAATTAATAGTTTGCAAAGACAGAATGAAAGCCACAGATTACCGTTCCATGTTAAAAAATAATGGAGTCATTAAAGACATGACAAAACACAGAAGCAAATTGTTTTTTCAACAGAATGGTGCACCACCACATAAAGCACTTGAAACAATGAGATGGTTAAAAGAAATGAAAACAAACCCAGTAGAATGGCCATCTTCTAGCCCCGATTTGTCACCAATTGAACATCTATGGGCAATTCTTGAAACAAGAATTCGCAAGAAAAAAGTTATTTAGAACAAAAAGTCTTTTGTTTAGAGCACTCAAAAAAGAATGGAAACAGTTGCCAATTTTAATGATAAATAAGTTGATGGACTCATTGATAAGCAGATTTAAAATATGTAAAATGGAAAAAGGAGGTCCAATCGGCCACTTGAGCAATTTTAAACTATTTAACAAATACGAAAATTGTTTAAATTAATTTAATATTTTAGTTGTTTTTTGTCTATTTGACAGTTAATAGTCTTTAAAATTTGGTGGTCATAATTAATAAAAATAAAATGATAACGAAATATAAATAAATTAGGATGTTTTCCCAATGTTTAAAGATAAAAATAGGTAATCCAAAATGGGCGCTATCGATTAAATGAAAACAGTTTATAAATTTTTACTGGGTTTTCAGAATAAAGTTTTAAATTGTTACATAAACAGATACTCGAAGAGTTAACAATATACATTTGCCGTTTTTAACCACTTTCATTTATTTTAAATGTTGTATATATTATTAATATCATATTTCGTCAAAAACTGATTAATATAAAAAGGATATATAATTTATTGATGTTTATGTCTAAAATGGTAGTTTGATAACATTGATTATTGTAATTAATTTAATTAAAAAAATTTAATTAAGATAATAAAATTTAAAATATTAAAGAGATTTTTAATGAATTTCATAATTATAACATTCAAAATATCAAACAAAATTTGTATGTCATTATCATTTTTCAGAATCGTTTATATTTTGCACATTTCGAATAATTGTTATTTAATTTATTTTAATGGTGTCGTGTTTGAACAGTTTTATATCAATATCAACAAATTTTAATACAGTAAAAAGTGTCTTTTTGTGGGTTTTTATATTTGTGGGTTACGTCTATTTGTGGGTCAATGGACCAATCAAATTCAAAACCCACAAATAATTATTTTGCTCTCGAACCTTGAATTTAAGTCCACTTAGATAAATAATATAGTTTTATTATAATTAAAAAAACTACAATATTTTCTATAACACTGTTTTTTTATGGAAAAAATGGTGAATAGAATTTACTTCACAATTCCATGATAAACCCACAAATAAACACCTTTTACTGTATAAGTTTTATTGTTGAATATTTTTTTATTTTTTTTATTATTTTTAAACAAACAAAATTGATTAAAATTCTTAGTTTAGAATTTTAGAATAAGATAGCCATAACGACTATAGCCATAATCGCAAAAACAGCATTTGTTCCATTGCATTTTCCTCCCTCCAACTTGTATTCTGCCATACATGCAGTGCATTCATCTACCTTTTCACAAGTTGCACACCCTTCAACGGTACATTTAATGCATTTATTTGTGGTTTCATCTGTCATATATCCTTCTGAACATTTATTAACGCACTTCAAAGTGTCAGCCACAAGATTGAATTTGGTATTGCATTTAGTACACTTGTCGTCTTTATCACAAACATCACAATTCTCAGTGGCACACTTGTCACACTTTTTGATTGGGGTATCAACTGGTTTACCAGAGGTGCATTTATCAACACATGAATGTTTGTCGGCAGCAATGTATTTGGTATCACATTTAGTGCATTGTTCACCTTTTCCAATTGTTTCACAAGTTCCACAGCCATCAATAGTGCATTCTTCACAAGTCATTGTAGCTATATTTGCTTTACCAGTTTTGCAAATTTTTGAACAAGTCTCATCAAGATTGATGTAATCGGTTGGTGTAGTGCATTTGATGCATTTGGTTGGTGGTG